TTAGTCCTCCATTCTCCTCCTCTGCAGCCCTAAGCACCAAACCCAACACAGAGGGAGGGAGAAGTGTCACTGAATCACTCTTACCTGTGAGGGAAACTAAAGGGGTAGAGGGGAAAACTGAGACCCAGTTGTCTGGGCAGGAGAGGAACACAGATTTGATGAGGTTTGAGAGAAGCGTGGGAGTGGCTGGACAAGGAACCAGTGGGGGAATGAAGGCAAGGGAGACAGATCTGTCAAGGGGAGGCAGTGTGGGAGGCAAACCTGGACTGCCTGGGCAAGGAGACAGATGGAAAAGCCCGGTGAGGGCAGGGAAGGAACTAAGCAGCAAGGACTGCAGATTGGATGAGGGGCCCCACCAGGGAAACCAGGAGTGGGAGCCAGCAACTAGAGAGGAGAGAGTCCTGAGACGTCAGCAGGAGGGGAGATGGGACTGGCTAGGGGCTGGTTTGTGGAGGGCGAAGAGACTGAGGGAGGTGGGAATTGGGGAGCTGACAGTAAGATAGGATGGGGAGACCAGGACTGGAGGGGCAAGAAAAAGTAGCCGGAGGAAGGGAAGACTGGGGCAAGGAGCCAGGGGCTGGGAAGGGACAGGCTGCATGAGACGGCACAGGAAGGGACACGCTTGAAGAAGAGTCTGTGATCACCAGGGTAACCCCTCCCCCAGCTCAGAATGGCACCTCATATTCTTCTCTCAACATTTCTCTGCTGTCAGTAAATACCTGTGAATCCCTCTAACAGCATGGGTATCTCACCTCCCTTCATCATTATCTGTATTACCATAGCACTTAGAATCCCTCACCACGGACCAGGGCTCCACTGGGCTGGGCACTGTACAAACAGAACAAAAAGATGGTCCCTGCCCCAGGGAACATACAATCTAAGCAGGACTACCCAACACACGGCCTGTGAGCCACATGCAGCCTGCAGCCTGTTTGTTTGCGGCCCACGGTGCAGTTTGGGGTGGTATGTGTTTTAGGAGTTACATTCCTGGACTGTTGTAAAACTAAAACAAAAAAGTAATCAATATAACGGTCTTCTGTTGATATGCATTTTAGTAATTCCTGGACTGTCACTGCTCATTAAAAGAGCTGTCCTATGGGTGGAAATCAGATAAATATTGCATTTTCTTAATATCAGCAGAACAGACTTAAATGGGGCCTGCGTGTTGTGTGTCTTGCCTTAATCTTTGTATTCATGCCCATCAGTGCGAAAGAAGCTATTTGCATATATATTTGCATGTACATGCAACCACACTTAAGTTGCAGCCCTCGGCGCGTGCTGTGAGTAGCACCGTGGCTCCCGGGCTTCAGGGGCAGTCCACAACATTTTGGCAACTGAGGCGGGGAGCTCAAATGACGGTCCCATGCCCCCTCGCTTGAGCCAAAACTTCGCAAGGTCTCAATTCTCTGGGTCCTAGTGGCACCCCTCCGCCACCCCACAGTCGCATCTGAGGCAGCTGCCTCAGTTCGCCTCATAGTAAGGCCAGTCCTGCCAGGCTTCCAAGTTGAGTAGCCTTGATCTAAAGCAGCGGTTCCCAAACTTTTCCAGATGGGGACCCATTCTGACAATTCAGGAAGACTTGGTGACCCAAGGCAATTCAAAAACGGGGTGAGGAGGAGGGGCAGAGCCACCTGGGGAGAACTTGGCAACAGTTTTGAAATGTAATAGTGACCTCTATTTGGACTGCAACCCAGAGGTTGGGAAACCCTGATCTAATGACAAGCCAACCGATGATACGCTACAGACGGGACAGGAGGGGGTATAAGGAAACAGAGACATAACTAGTCAGCGTGTTAGGAAGAGGCTTCAGCACAGCAGCCGCACAGCTGTTGAGAAATTTTTGTCAGCTCCATGGAAAAGGAGGAGTTTGAAAGAGGCTAAGGAAATAACTCAGACTTTAAGGTCAGAAGGGACCATTCTGATCATCTAGTCTGACCCCCTGCATGACGCAGGCCACAGAATCTCACCCACCCCCTCCTAGAATAATCCTCTCACCTATATCTCAGATATTGAAGCCTTCAAATACTTTGAAGACTCTGCAGATGGCTGGGGGGGAAGCTCCTCCCAACTGCAAGAGGCAGCATGAGATAAAGTTTGTTTGAAAATTTAATAAGTGAGCAATGGAAGCTGGCATCATGGGCTAACTGGAGGAGAGAGCAGACATCTTAATAGTGGAGAAGTGACAATACGCAGGGATGAGACAGGCCCTGAAAAGGAAGACAAGTAATTTATGTGGAGCGTAATGGTGAGGAAGAGGTAATAAACGATTGCTTCCATCAGTTGCTCTGTTATCTCCAGTGGCAGAGGTCTATGCTGTGGATCTAGAACTTCCAACCCTGCTGCTGACCCATGTCTTAAAACACGGAACTCGCGAAGCCCAGCTCTCGGAAGATTGGAAATGCCAGAATTAAGACAGTCTGTGCAACCTTGTGCACGTGTGTTATGAAAGGCTCTGATGACACGATCACATAATGTTGTCTCCAATGGACACCTGGCTCATTCAGTAGATGATAGAGATGTACAATTTTTTTTTTTTTTAAGGTAACCAAGTAACCACTAAAAATCCTAGTGGTTACACGCTGCAATAAGCTTTACATTGCAGAGCCCTCAATGAAGCCACTTTCCCGGGAGCAGAGCTGGCAAGAGCTACTAGTCCCACTCCTAGGGGGGAGGCTTCACTGCCGCAGTGAAGCCACCTCCACAGCAGCAGGGCCGGCAGGAGCTGCCAGCCCTGCCTGTGGTGGCCCCTGCACAGGGAAACTGCTCCAGCCCCTATCAGTTAACTGTTAAGCATTACCCATTTAGGGTGATGCTTACTGATTAACCTTTCACATCCCTAGTACACAGCACGGCTGAACCAAGACTGTGTAGTAAAGGAGACTGTAGTCTGCAGGATGTGTGCCCAGGCCTGCCAACAGAGGAGAAGAGGGAAGAGAGGCAGGGCAGGGATTAAAAAAGGCCCTGGGGCTCCTGGCTGCTACTACTACTACAGCAGAAACATCAAGGGCCAGAGCTCTGGGCCCTTTAAATCTCCACTGGAGGCCTAGACAGCATGCCCCAGGCAACACTGAAGGGCTAGCTGGGGAGGCTCACTCTGGCCCCACCCTTTCCACCCAAGGCCCCGCCCCTTCTGGAGCCCTGGATCCAGCCCCCCTCCACATACACATTGTCCAGGGCCCAGCAAAATCTGTCAGCCACCCTATCAGTACCTCATTTATTGAAGAATTTAGAAAGTATGTAGAGTAGTTCAGACAGAGAAAGGATGGTCTCATGGTGCAGCTCTGGATAATTATAGCCTCTCCCTATCTCTGCCACAGAGTTCTTATGTGAGGCTGGTCAAGTCACTTACACCACACTTTTCCACAGGTGGCCATTAATTGTATGTCCCTCATTTTCTATGTGAGTGTCTTTGGATCCTTCAGCCTGACTCTCAGAAGTGCTGAGAACTCACATTTCAAATAGAGTTGGCTGGAAATTTTCCTGTGAAATGAGTTTTGTTGGAAAATGCTGCTCCATTAAAACTGGAAAAGTCTTGTGAGAACTGCTCAGGTTTGAGGAACTTTTATCAGAACACACAGACACCTGGCCTGGTTCCCTACCAGCTTGTCTGGTGGGTGACCAGCAGCACCTGGGTCATTCTGACATGCCAGATTTTCCAGGCTTCTTATCATGACGCTGGGAACCTGAAAGCCTTTACAGTCCCAGCTCTGGCAGAAGTACCCATAATACTGTATGGAGTGCTTGACTCTGTGACCTTTTAACATTGGCTTGTGGATGTAATCCCAGTTAGAACGTTAAATATTTACAGTTCTGTCTCATACCCCGGAGCAAGAGTCCAGAATCCACAGGCAATTATAGTAGCAAAGCAACAGATCAAGAGCAACTTCAGTTTTCTCTTTTCAACTCAGTTGAATATGTAACTTGGCTGATTTTAAAGTCCCCGTGGGTTGAAAGTGTGCTGTATAAAAATGTCCATGCTGTTAAAGATTTCCTACAAAGGAAAAGAAATTGGGCATTTGCCCTTCTCTGCTTCTTTATAAAGGTGACCTGAAAGTGGAGTTTAAAAACACAAACAAAACAAGAGAGGCATTCCAAGTGCATGTGTGAAATAGAAAGCATGGCCAGGTGTGTGTATAGCTATCAGTATGCAGGAGTATGATGACAATATGCATACCTCCAAGTTTGAGAGCACACGTCCAAAGCTATGAGTCAGAGAAGGGGGTGTGCACATGCAAATGAGCATTAATGGGTCGTATGTGGGATGTAAGGGAAGGGTGGGCTAGCAGATTTTTGCCTGACAATTCGTGACAGTTCTGCAAAGCTGAATTAAGCCATGAGAGCTTATGATGCACATGCTTTGTTCCTCCAGCAAAAACTAGAGAACAGCATGGTGCGCCTGATAACATTGGCTCTCGCCCTTTCCCTCCCTGCCACTTTTTTTTTTTTAAGCATTAGAACTCAGAACAAAATAAAAAGTAGCACATACTGGGTTTGCGTTACACATCGCAGGGGGCCCAAAGAAGGCATGATCCTGATTTAAATATATATATACTTTTATAGCTCACAGCTGTAGGATTCCCTCATGCCAGCACTTTCAACTTTTGTTCATGCTGGCCTAAGTGATTTCCATATACAAAGCAGCACCGGACACTTCTGAAAGTGATAAGCGAGGGTGAAGTTATCAGAACTTCTCCCAACTGGCTCTCAAACCATTGTGCAAAAAAGATGCTGCCACACAAGTTGATGTTACTGTTTTTACTATGGCAACTGAGACTACTGAGAACAGCAGCCAGAAAAGACACCAAAAATAGCCTGCTTCCTGCATGGAACTCTCCAGTTTATTTTCCACTCTCCAGATAGTAATATGTAACAAACTGCAGTGAGCATTCAAGACAT